TTTTTTTTTTTTTTTTTTTTTTTTTTTTTTTTTTTTTTTTTTTTTTTTTTTTCAAATACACTTAATAATTTGGTTGCGGTTGCAGCTTCTATCCTCGTCCAGTTACATAAAATATCGTGCAAGTCATTCATTTATCCGCGAGTGATTATTGTTCTTTTGCATAACATTATATGGCAACCGATGGCAATCGCTCCTCCCGCGGCTACTTGATGTTAAACAATGTGATTGAAACGGTATTTTTCGTTTGCATAGTCCAGTGAATCGGAGCAAGGAGCACCTTGTATAGCGATGATGGATGCGATACACGAAGCGAAAATGAAAAAAAAAAAGAAAAAAAAAAGAAAAGTGTTATTAAGGTCGATCGAGAGAAGAAGGTTGCGTAATGGATCTCGCGTCAGCGCCGCTCGATGAGTTTTAAACGCATATACTTTATGGTTTTTGTACGTAACTTTTTTTTCGTCATTTAAAAATACTGTACAGGTGTAAAAGAGCGTGTAAATCCTATATATATACTTATAGTTGAAGAAAAATCGACAAACAAACGCACCTCTGCGCATGTACACAAGTCAAAGTATACTGATGATTCGACCATTGTCCGCCAGGTGGAATCGATTCACGTCTTATTAGAAAAATCGGTGTTTTAATCAATTTGCATCTTGAAAATGAATGACTTTGACTTATAAAAATAAAAAAAAAGTATAAAAAAAAGAATATTTTCTGTATTAAATTTATTTAGCACGAGTTTAATGTGCTCCAACTATGCACAAACAATGTTTTTTTGGGCAATCCGCATGTGGCGAAATATTGTCTTGATTAGTATATAACGAAAATTAGTGTCATCAAAGTGTAGGGTGGTCCGATACTTCTCAGCAATCTCCGATGGACAACCTTTTCTCAGTCACGTATGCATGTATAGGTACCAACCTTTATCACCATTCACATTTATTACTCTTATTTCATATTATGAAGTCAAGTACTTGACAAAGTCAATCACGATAAATGGAAATTGCTACAAATTTTCATTGGCCATCCACGAGATGAATAACGGTGATATGACGATTACACGGATGATGACATTTAAAACAATAATATATTCATAGGCTCTTATAACAGTGTGCAACGAAAATTATACCACCGCGCCATGTGTGCACCTGTAGAATACCTATACATGAAATATACATATAAATATTTCGTAAATAGTAGCTCATTCAGCTCCTACATACAGCTCTCATCCATAACCAAATAAATATAAACTAATAAGTAACTAATAAGTACTGGGGAAGAAGAGTAATTGATAATACGGTATGCAGGCGCGGGGGTGCAACGTGAAGAAATGTATACGACAAACACCCTAGCACCCTGCACATAGGTACATCTTTCAGGAGATAATAATTTCCCTCGTTTGGTTCAACGCATCGTATAATGTACGAGTATATCGTCCATCAACTACTTACCGTGTCGCCCTGCGAAAGAGTCAAGCTAGCCTCTATAAATATTCCACGTGACAAAAGAGAGACGAGGATAAAAGGGCACAGTCTCGACAGGCTTGTATCATCATCCATATCCATATGATATAATAGGCCCTGATGGATTTCCCTCCCCCTAAAAAAATCCTTTGTCCTTCGGATAATAGCTCTGGAACCCTCTTTGGAAGGTATTCCACGGCAAACCTATATGTATACACTTACTCACCCCGACTATTGGTAATGAAATTAAGACGACGACTCTTTTGTTGTACACACGCGAAGGTTCAAGGTATTACTTGTTTTTTTTTATTTTTTTTTTTAAAGTTTAAGAACCATCAGCCCATCGGATAAAGAAAATACCCAACTTTCTTGTAAAAGGGGGGAAAAAAAAGCAACGACAACAACAAGATTAGCTATAAACAAGTATACGTGACCGGACTCGCTGGCGAACGAAACTTATTTTCTCAACATGAGAAACAAAAACAAAGAGTTGTCAAGCACGTAGCATATGTCTGTTATCTCCAACTTTTACCCTCCGGATAACTCTTTCCCCGTGACTCACAAGCACATCGAGATAACACACTGTGTATAGTACAAATCAATAAACAAAAAGGTCTCTCTGCAACCCAGAACTGTAGGTCAAGGGTCGAGCGGAGGACCTTCGGCCGTTCGGCTCCTCGGACATATATGCACCCGTAGCGGGAAAAAACAAGGCGACAGGACAACCCACAAGTATGGGCTCGTTGCCGAACCTACACGAGCTCTCGCGGGAAAAGCTGTCGAGCAGCCCGGTCGTCTATAGGCCGGCCGTCAAGCAGACCCTGCCAGCGGTGGTTGCATCTTCGGCGGCTTCGACCTCCAGTCACAAGCGCACCCGCAGCACTGGACATCATCACCATCACGCCGCTCAACTCTGGGACAACGATGCCATGCTCGAGGTGAGAGCACTTTAAATACTACATCTTTTATCTCTGCCCATAAAAATACAAGCACCAGCCATTTCTTTGTCCATACTCGGCTGATCTTTTCCCAAAAGACAATAGTCGTCTCTTGAGCTCAATTGATCAACCGACTGGTTTCTGAATGTTAAAGATTTTGCTTGAATTGAAGGGTGTACACAGTGTTCTCAGCGCAGAGTTGTTTTAGTAATTATTACTTTTATCGCTCGCGTGCGAAGATCTCAAACGATGCCAGCTGCATCACACCGGGTGTGGTTGAACGATCGATCGCCGGTGTATTATTACGTCCGTGTACGCGCGCCTGGGGTAATTATAAAAATAACCCCTTCTCGGGCGAGTATAAAAATAATAAACACCATGTACATGGATATAAGTACCTACGTTTGTGAAGTTGAAGAAGAAGGAAAATCAGAATTTGCTTTCAGAAAATTGGGAGCTGATTTTTTGCTTCCGCCTCCCTTTAATTGTATAGTATCGTTGTTGCCGAATGATTAATTGTTATTCGATGGATGATTTTTTTTTTTTTTGCCTCGAGTGTCGATGGCAATAAAAAGTACGTGTATCAAAGACGGATTGTGTGCGGGTAAATTGTTAAAAAAAAAAAATAGTTGTCACAGCACAAGCATCATCATAACTTTACGTAACTTGTAGTCCGGCACGATTTTTCCTGAAACGCGGGCGATCATTGATGATTAACTTTTTTCCCACGCCAATTTGAACACATCTACAATTTCCAGTGCACGTAATAACCGAACAATAATTGCATTCACGTTTTTCGGATATTTCAATGACAAAAAGAAAAAAAAAAAAAAAAGGTTCGTATTTTAACGACTCCTCTCGTCGTGGATGGATGCGTACCTACACTTGGTTTCTTTTTTTTTTTTTTTCATTAGAGTAAAACGAGCCATTCAATCCGCGTTACATTTCCGGTCGCACGTACATTATGATTTCTCGCTTGATCGCTCCTCGCGTACCTGACTAGTCGTGTTCAACTAAAAACAAATACCCCCGCAGCACATGGCAACCTACTCGCCGATCTCCAACCGATCGGCCCGAGTGTCGGCCCAACCGTGGCGCCGACGGGACTCGATGAATTCCTCCGCCGGCGCCTCGTCGGTCCGCCGACTCATAGCAGCCGTCCGGGCGGCCCCGTCGGGCCCCAGACCCCCGAAAAAAGCCGTGCTACGCCACTGCGCCGCAGTCATGCTGGGCCACGCCAGCTGGTCCGCCGCCGCCCTGCCCGTCTTCCCCCAATCCGCGGGCCTCGGGGTCCTAGACCCCGTCCACGGGCCCATCTACCTCGGGCTGCTCTTCTCCGTGGCCGCGGTCACCAGCTGCCTCGCGCCCCTCGTCGTCCACAAGCTCGGCTCCAACATCACCATCTGCATCGGCCACCTCGTCGCCCTCGTCTTCGTCGGCGTGCACTTTTATCCAGAGTCAGTAGTATACATTGGTTTTTACAGCTACGGCAAATGTACATGTATAGCTTCGACATCCATCCACAGGTGGTACCTTCTGGTACTGGGTTACGGGCTGCTAGGCGCCTGGACCAGTCCGAGTTTCCTGGCGCGCTCCTCCCACGTCAACGTCTCGGCGGCCAACCTCAGTCTGGTCTCCGCCGACCCCGAGGACCCCGACGAGACGAGGCGCGACTGCATCCTCAGGCGGCTCAACCGCGGCCTCAAACTCGGTAAGTACACCCCCACCTTGTGGGTCTGGCGTTATTATTAAAAATAACAACGAGCAAACAACAGCCGAGGACCTGGGTCTGGCGTTCGGCTGCCTGGTGGCTTACGTGTTGATCAAACTGACGGACCCGTCTCCCGAGCCTCCACTGGCCGCGTCCAGCCAGCTGGGCATCGAAGAGACCTGCGGCGCCGAGTACTGTCCCCTCAAGTCCTACGGCTTCTCGAGCGGCACCGACAACGCGACCGCGTCGTACCTGTTGGCACGGCCCACGGCGTTGCCAGTGAGTACGGCGCGCGTCGTTTTGAGCGTCTGGTTGGGTATGGCGGTGCTCGCCCTCGGCGTGTCCTGCGCCTTCCTCGACAGCCGGCTGCGCGAGCCCCAGAACACCCTCCACGACCGACACAGCCTCGGGGGCTTGATCAAGCTCGTGACAGGTGCCTTCCAAGAGCCCATGATGCAGCTCATCGCCCCCTTCACCCTCTTCGTCGGGTTCGAGCAGGGGTTCATCTACTCGGACTTTACCGAGGTGGGTTGGAATTTTTTTTTTTTTTTTTTTTTTTTTTTTCTCCCTCTCACGCAGTGACAAAATGTTTGTGCGTAGGCTTACATAATGTGCGCGCTTGGTGGCGCGGGCAAAGTAGCCCTGAGCTTCCTCAGTCTGGGGCTGTTGCAGGGCCTGGCCGGGGCGACCCTGTCCATGCTCATGAGGCACATCAAGAGGCACTACGTCATCCGTGAGTGTTTTCTTTTTCTTGTTCTCAAACTCGTGGACGAATTTTTTTTTTTTTTTTTTTTTTACTGGTAAATATATCAGTCGTAGGGTTCGCGTTTCACGCCTGCCTGCTGCTGGTCCTGCTGATCTGGAAGCCAGCGGAGGACGACCCGGCCCTGTTCCACGTGATATCCGCAGCCTGGGGTGTCTGCAACGCCATCTGGGAGACCCTGATATACAGTGAGCCCACCCCAATGGGAATAGGGATTGGAGGAGCACGTGTATAATTTGGTGACCTTTTCTTTTTTTTCCAGCGCTCATAATGGGCCTGTTTCCAAACTCGTGGCAGGGACCGCTGGCGACGTCGCTCTTCTGGCGGTGGTTGGGCCTCGGGCTCTCCCTGGGGGTGTACGGTCTTAACTGCACGCGTTTTCGCGTCCTCGCCCTGGCGGCGATGCTCCTGCTGTCGGTGGTGCCGTACACCTGGCTGGAAATACGACTGGCCAAGCGCGGCAAGATCTCGTGACTCGGTCCGGCCAGTAGCCAACAGTCCGCCAACAAGCAGCAACAGCAGGAGATGCACCAGCCCAGCAATAACAGCTCGGGGGCGGCGATGCACCACCAGACGAGGCGGAAGAGCTCCCACGCGGACTGAGCGAGGCTCGTTCCATCCGGCACCTCCTCTTGGAGGCGGACGACCCGGTCCAACAGCTTGAACAGCGGCCACCAGATGCACGGCGCTGCCAACGTTTTCGTTTGCCACACGAGGCATCCGACCGAACGGAGGGTCAGCACTGGAGCGGTGGCCGCTTTTCGGTTGCACCCTTGATTTCCTTCTACCTTTTTTTTTTTTTTTTTTTTTTTTTTTTTCAATCTTTTTACCTTCGCGCGAGGGTGGTGCTTCGGAAGGTCGTTGCTTTCACATTTTTTAATACATCGACTTTGTTGCTTACGGGTCAATTCTAAACTGCAAAGACGCTTACATTAATGTGTACTTTTGTAAAAATAATTATATCACGAGAATATGGCATACGCAAGGATCTTTCGATGCGGCCACCTTTTGTCACGGGGATGATTATTTATTACAGTGAGACCTTTTTTTTAACAAAAATGATCAAATATTCTACTCATTGTGATTGAATGAGATTGCACGATTGGCAATATTGACTGTATCAACAAAAAGGCTGTGAATCGTCAAAATCAAACAAACCGCGCGTTTAACTAAAATTTGCAATATATGCCATTTCCACTTTGGAAATATTCTTTTGATGAACTTGTTTCCACCTTCATTTTTCTTACACCTGCCAATTTCGTAATCAAAATCATAGTGCCAAGCGATGTTTTTCCCGCACATCCACATCAATTGATCATCTCGGAGATATATATTATTCCCATACTGTTTTCTTGGTCAATGATCCTGGTAACAAATGTGGATCGAGATTATTTCGTTTGCTGTACACCCCCAGGGCTGGATGGAACGTCGACGCCGACGCTAAAATCGTCATTAACAATGTTCGAATATTCGACAGAAAAATAAACTATGTGTATAGAAAATAAAAATTAAGATAAAACTATATTGTAATACTCGGAAAAGCCAAGGATAAACAGAGATCAAAGTATATACGCCACAGCTGTAGTAGTGGTGGCGATATAATTTTTTCATTATAAAGTTTAATACTATTGACAAAATATTACCAAATGTAAGAAAAAAAAAAAAAATAAAAATGCTGGACATTTTCTCGCAAGGGTAACGCTTAGACGTGTGTACTGTTACTATGACTGTCGTGTGAATAAACTCATTTCTGCGTAGGGATTAACGTGGATTTTATTATATTATACATAAATGTTCATTGCCAAGTATAATTAACGAGACTGTTTGTTATTTTCGTTGAATCAAATTTAATATTGTATGATACTATATACATGTTATAAAATTCGGTGTAAGTGAGTACACGCGAGCCAACCTCGGCTCTACAGATGAGAAAAAAATAAATAAATGAAAAAATGTTTTTTTTCACAACAGGTAAATTCAATTGCCTCGTGTAAATAGATGAAAAGCAAAACTCCATGGTTATTTGCCATTTTTTTATGCGCACTTATCTACGGGGAAATAATAACGACACGTGTCAAATTTTTTAGCATCAAACAGCTAAAAGAGTTTATGTATCCCAAATATTTCTTTTTTCAATAAATCACGTTCACGTCGGATGAGTAAAACTGGTATTTCCTGCAACAATGTGTGTATAAATATTGGCACAACTTTTTATCAAAGTACGAAATGATGGTAGTCACCACTAATAAGTACGTCGCAGGTGCAGCAAAGTGCCGGACATTTTGAAAATTAGATTGTAAGGAAACATATTCATGTACGGGTGCATAAGAAAAAAATTTTTTTTTTCAAGTTACAAAACAATTATACTTCAAGTCAGCTGCGACAGATTATAATTAAGAGTTTTCCAAGTTTTTCCCTGTGTCTAGAAAAATTCGAATTTTCAAATATACTTGAATTATTAAAATGGAAATCACACGATATTACGTGCATTGGGAAATGGATGAGGAAAATATGACCCTCACTTCCCCTTTTTTTCCTGCCAAACTTTGATGATTGTTGATTATATTACACAGCAATTTCACTACCATTTAATATATTTAAAAGTAAAAAGAAAAAAAAAACATTTCAACCGAACTTCATAAGAATTTTGTTATTGAGAAAAAAAGTTATATGAATCATGTAAACAATGAACCCGTTGATCAAAAAACCACTCGTACATATTGTAAAGTATCAAAAGTACGTGTAAATGTTGCAGTTGAAAGCGCCGAGCTTATAAAATTCGAATTTATAAGAGCACGGGAAATTTCGGAAAAAATACATACGCACGTAAAACGTGTATCGAGAAAGCATTTTTTTCGCAAATAAAAGAAAGAAGTAAAAAAATTTAATAGCAAAAAGCACTTGCAGTTGTTAACGTGTACATATACATATATATACATATATCAAAGCATTTTTGCAGCCTTTAAATAGAAAATAAGGAGGATAAAGAAGCGAGTGCTTGCACGCAATTATTTTTTATTTACGTAATTACCTTGATACAGAAGAGCAGCTTCAATACGTTACTTAATGGCACTCCAAACTTTTAAAACAACAATGCCATGTGTACGAATACCAGTAGATAATATGATTTTAACTGTTATAGACGGTAAGAGTGTGTTTGTTGTAGTTCTCTATAGTGGTGCCATGCTCATTTGTACATGTCGTATCTATTATTAAAAAAATTTATTAAAAGTGCTCAATAGGACTTTCTTTATTCGTTTCTTGTACATTTTTCAATAAAATTAATTGACTGCATCTAGTTTGTTAGATTTAAGATTTAAGGCCGTATATCCACCGAATCCTTACTTCGTTGAAACTGTGATTTTTTAAAAGGTGGATTTTTTTCATGCGAAATCGAACTAAAAATTGACTATTCATTTTTTCATGCGTGCAAACCAAAAACTGCGAAGCAACTTCGAATAAGAACGTGTTTATTGTATTTCACGAAATAAGTAAAAATAAATATTTACTTATTTTATAATTGACAGTACATTTACTATTTGTCGAATGTGTTTTCCTCCTACAGCTTCAACGAGAACATGAGTAAGTATGGTTGATTAAATTCTGATGTATTAAATAAAAAATTAACCCGTTTGATTGGGGTACAATTTTTAATAATCTCTGAACAGAGCACCTGAAATAATGTTACCCTACATTTTTGTGTAGAGATAAAAATCTTTATTTTATTTTATACTTGAATTTCGACGAATAAAAAAATAAAATGTAGCTAATCAAATTGGATACCCATACTTTGTATCAAAGAAAAAATCAATTTATTATGAAAAAAGCACGTGTAAAAGTACGTATTTCAATGTTTCAACTTTAATTTATACATATGTATATATGTATATATTTATTTACTCACGTCTATACGAAAAGTTCAACTCTTTTATAGTCATTTTGTATATGGTAACAACACGTATATAAACACTACGTGAAAACGTTCACTATAACTTGAAATATCTATTATTGTCAGCACCGCTTAAAACGAGAAACAAAAACGAGTATACTATAAGTTTTTTCTCTTTTTTTTTTCTTAACAATCTGTATATGGAATAGGTAATATTTATATGTATATTTCAACAAATAGAATTTTTCTAACTACGATAGGCACACGTTCAACTCACACGTACGAGTTTACACACTCACGCAGACTCTCGCACACGTAATAAAATTAAGCACTTGACAAGCAAAATCGATTAACTTTAACAATGCCCCTTTATTAATTTTTTTTTGTTCCAATAAAAAAAATTTTTCAACGCCGAATCAACAGTATTGATTTCACATAAATTCACAAAAATATTACATGGCTATTCTTAACAATTCCTTATTTTGACTCGTTTACAATAAAATTCGATATTTATCATTTGACAATGATAATGACAAATAAAAGCACAGGCGCATTGTTTCGAAATTTTTTTTTTTTTTTTAAGACTACTCGTATAGAGACAACGTTACAAAAATCTTTAAGAAAATCATTTAAAAAATCAACGTAGCTTGAACGAGTAAATAATTTTTTTTTTTTTCAATAATTCTATTGTGATTCATTTTGTATTTTCAATGTATTTTCTTTCAAATATGCATCGATGATGTATTTTTTATATTTTATTATTTAATTTATTTTTTTTTTAACGATACGATTTCAAGGAAGCAAGCGATTACCGTATACTGGGGCGGATAAACTTTTCTTTTCGCTTATTTTCAAGTTGTAAAAATCAATTGACGAGTTAAAAAGTAAGTAAAACATTTAAAAATCAACATCAGAATCCTGACAAAGCATACTGTACTTTCTTATTTAAGTTTCACAGTCATATTTTTAAGTCGTTCAATTTCCTTATCTACGATTAAACTGGCACTCGTGTCGCTTCCGAAAATCCTAACAAGCCACAAGTATTAAATACTCTGATAATTGGCATCGATTCTCTTCAAGAATTGATGAAAAATATGGTTTTCCATTCACTTTCATTGATAAAATCTTACCATAAGTCAGCAAGGGGTGTCTCATTCAAAATATTTCAAGATGAAAAATGCATCTAAGAATAAAAAGTTAATATCAATTCGAGGTACCGTATTGAAGTAAGTATTTTGCGATGAAATTCATTAAAATGAGGTATAAAATAAAATTATTTTTATAAAAATCTCGATCACCCTCGTGATTTTCCAAAGTTTTTAAAAACAAAACCCGACGCAATATAATCAATGATAATTTGATATCTCATTTCTTTTTCTTTTCCAAACAACTGCCACTGACGAAAATCATAAATATACATAGAAAACGTGTGTGTTATCCGTTGTAAAAAGAATTATTTTTCTTATCTAACCCAACCAAATTCCATACCACAATGATTCTTTCATTCATCGTGACGACAAACAAATGTATACAAAACAAAAAAAAACACACCAATTTTCAATCTCGTCTCACCTAGTGTGCAATACAAAGCCGTAACGTATCATTTTTATCTTTAAGTAAAAAAAAAAAAAAAAAAAAAAAAAAGTCTTTAGAGTAACAAAATACAGTAATAAAGTGAAGACAATCGACGCCTTTTAATTTTCTACAAGCACGTGGATCACTCGTTGCAGCGGGCGGTAAGTATGTCTATCAAAGAAAAACCACGTCCGCTCTATTGAATCTATTACATGCGTTTTTTACCGACATCGACGTCCTACACTCGTCGACGCAATCATAGCCTCTACGAAATGCTTTTCAGCGATCAGCAGTAACTATTTGTGTTAAATTTTTTTTTTTTTTTTTCTTCATTCATCCTCATTCGTAACTCGCTGAAATGCATATTAGCGTGCCCGACGCGCTACGTAGATACGTATAATTGCCACCATCGTTTTCGGATCACCTCCTCCGTCCCCCTATATAAAGTTCGCACTTTCTCCCTCGCTTTGTCCACCTTTTCTACATTTTCGTTTGAAACGGCAGATTCTCTCGTTTGATAAACATATGCGTAACAACAGAGAGTAAACTTTCGCAACGATTGCACACAACACCTTGAGATTCATTACGTGTAATAGGTACACTCCTGCGTAAGAGGTACGACCCAAAGATCATCGTCGTATATTGACTATTATAACTTAGCGAACACTAGCGTGGATAATATAGTTAACGAAGAAAAAAGAAAAATTAGGTGACAAGCGGAGGAAGCGAAAGTAACGTGACATTTTCTAATGGGACGGTAGAGATGTCCGGGTGGCGAAACTATATAAAACTTTTATTTGTTGTTGTTGTTGTTTTTTTTTTTTTTTCTTCAGTTTTTAATCACTATTTCATTCGATAAGTCGTCTCGACGCATCTCACAGATACATCTCCGTTTGCGTGATACCCATACAATCAACCCGGCCTCGCCGATATTCCCCCTCCCTCACATACCGATCACACAAGACTGAGAAACACGTGTGATTTCGCGCGACTCTCAATTACCGATTGGGGATGATTATGTTTGAACGTTTGTCTGTTTGCTCTTGTTACTTTATTGTGTATTTAAAAGCCGCACAGGCAGTTCGCACCACGTATGGACCAGTCGTAGCCGTATACAGTTGGTTGGATGAGCGTGTGTGTAGAGTTTCAACGGAGGTACGATAGATCCCGGCGCGATCCTTTTGCGTCAGTCGTTGCACCCGAGTCCTTCAGACCGGGGTGTAGTTGCCCTTGGGCGTGTAAAAGATACGGCCGCGCGTGAGGCGCCTCGTGATCTCGCTGAGGAGCAGCTGCTTCTCCTTTTTGATCTTCTTGAGGACGCCCCGGTTCTCCTGGGCTCGCCGCGACAGGTACGGCAGCACCTCTTTCACCGGCCCGTACGGTATGTACTTGTAGGCCGAGTAACCAGACTGGCCTGTTGGTATAGACAAAAATAACGAAACATTAGCACAGCTATGTATACCATTAGTTGGCATACACGTCGCCGATGTACGAACCGAGGGGGAATGTCAGGTAGTCGCACATGCCGAACAACTGGCCGAAGCAGATGACCTTGTCCTCGGGCGAGATGCCGATCTCCTTCATTCTGCGAATTTAAAATCAAGTCGTGGAGTAAACGACGCGATGGCATGTATCATATATTGGCTTACTTCTCGATGGCAAAGCGCACGGTGTCCTCGTTGTGCGAAGCTACCATGATGCCGATCTTCTTGGGATCCTCCCCTTTGTCCTTGTATTGTTTCATGCGGCGCAGGCACTCCATGAGGGTCCTGTGGTACGAGTCGGTCGTTGCCTCGTAGGTGGGGTTCGTCGGGTCCGGGTAGCCCATCGCGTTAGCCCGTGCCCTCTCCTTTATTTTTAAAATTCAAATAAACGATCACGACGTGCATGGAAGGGGAATTTTATGAGTCGTGATGACTACAGGATCATTATGAGGGTCATTCAGGATTCCGTTTGGAAAAAGCCATGTGTTGTATCGAGCCAAATATGTGTATCCAGCATTCGTTGATAAATTATTACATCTCGTAATTTAACTAGCGCCGAGACGAACTCCAAAAATCTGTCAACGGCGCGCGTCAATGTTTTCGCATCCGGCAATCGTGTATTTGGCGACTGACATGCATATTTACGAGTAGTCGTGTATTCATAGTAAAAACAAACGTTGCCGGATAGCCTTACAACACTTTTTATAAAGAAAAAAGGAAAAAAGGTTTTGTCCTGTAATAGTTACCTGCTCGATATAGGCTCCCCGAACGATTTTGGCGCCAAAGTAGAAGTTCTGTCGCTCGGATTGCTCGAGATCGGTCTTGACCTCGGTGAACGCGTCCTGAAGGTAGGTCTGGTACGTGTTGAAGACCACGGCCTAGGGAGGGAGGAGAGACGAGACATCATTTGACACTTGTAACCTCTGCAACGATACACATTTTCATCGGACCATTTGCCAATGTACAATCATTAATTACCCTCTTTGTATTGTACTTGCGCATCATCTCCAGGGTCAATCGGGATATCGCCGGTTGGAAGTACGTCTGCTCGGCGTCTATCATTATGCGCACGTCCAGTTTGTCGGCCACCTTGAGAAAAGAAAAAAAAAACGAATTAAATTTATTTTTCTTTTTTCATGCGTAATGGGGAAAAAAAAAAAAAAAAAAAAAACAGGTTGGCAAAGCTCGTACCGCCACGATGCTGTTGAGCCGTCTGATCATGTTGCGGAACATCTCCTCCTCTTTCCTGGTCAGTTGGGTCATCAGTTTCACCATTTTGCCCGTCTTTATGTCCGGCACCTGGAAGGTCTCGCTCAGCTCGTAGTTCTCATCCAGGATACCGCTCCACGGGAACAAGTGGATAACACTGAACGAAAAAAAAGCGGTCGATCAGATTATCATCCGGCAAAACAAGTATCATCGTTTGTCTAGCGATGAAAAACAGTATGCGTGGATGATTACTTTGTTCATCGAAATTTGTATGTATTTTTAGCAAATTTCAATGAATATCCGGACGACAACGCGGTGGGGACAAAACAAAATTACGGGGTGCGCTCAAAGTGTTAAGAAGCACAAGTATGTGTAACCGGGACGAATTCTATGTGATTGGTTTTCAAAAAAGCCGTTCGTCGATTCGACTGGTGTATTTATTTGCAACCGACGAGCCTAATTACTACTGTCAGCAACGCATTCACGGTTGTCTCTCGTGAACGATGCAATTGCGGGATTAATAAGATCGAACGAAAAGAAAAAAGTACAAATCGTGACGAGGAGAGAGAAAAAAAAAAAAAAATCAATAAAACAAAATTGAAAATAAAAGTTAAAAAAAAAGTTGAATTGATTTTTTGTTTGTTTTCTTACTTTCTGCGCATCCAACGACAGCATCCACGTTATGGAAACAAACAAAGATACCATGTATTAGACCAGAGCCAAAATTCGTCATTTACATCAATAATAAGATTCTCCTTTCCCGTGCGGGACCCAATTGTGATGGGGAGGGAAAAAAAAAAGAATAAAAGTTCCCCAATGGCACTCCAGCACAGTACACACCTATATAGCACACAATACCACGCATACACACACACACCCACTAACACGTACAAACATCGGAGAAATGATGATGAGATAAGAAAAGTTGGCGTATACGAGCGCACATACCCTTCTTTGTCCGACTGTATTTTTTCCAAGAACTTTTGCACAGGGGCGCACTCGCGTATACGCGCCTCCTCGAATTTTTTCTCGAAAAGCTCGGGCTTCGCGTGGTGCGCAAGTACCGCGCCCTGGCCGCCCACCACGTCCGAGACGTACTGGCGCGCTCGCATTATTACCTCGGACAATTGAAGCTGAAATTACAGAGGAGCGCATTTTCAATGACCATTTGTACAATCTTTCAAAAAAAAAAAAAAAACTATGGTTGGATTTTGATGTGAAAATTTAAATTAAAAAAAAAAAAAAAAAAAAAAAAGGAAAACTCCAACTTGTACGAACCAAAAGCTGCGGCCTGCCGAGGGCTGTGAGTTTTATCGCCGTGAATCCCGTGCCGTAAGAATTACCTGAAAAACAATAATTTCGATGGAGGAAAAGTATAATGTAATTTGGCACATATTCCATCAAACTGAAAATAAACTCACTTGCAACAGCCTCGAGGCACCTGATGAAAATGTCCATGTTTCGCTCGCAAGAAGCTTCGTTGAGGTAAAAGTACGTTCTCGCCGACGAGACTTTGTACCGCCTGTCGGCGAAGGACTTCTCCACGTGGTACTTTTTTATCGTGCCCGTGTTCTTCTCGTCCCCGGCTTCGGACACCGATGCCCTGCAACATAATATAAAGCGATGAATACAAATTTTTCTTTCTTTTTTTTTTTTTCATGCTAAACAAAAAAAAAAGGAGAGAGAGAGAGAGAGAAAAAAAACTCACGATACTTCGCGTCGCTCGGCCTCCTCTTGGGTAATGTCCTCCTCGACGGAGTAATCGAGAATCGGCTTGACGCCAAACTGCCGCAGTCTACCGAGCACGGGGGCGATTTTTATCTCGTCCTCGCCGGCCACGAAGTGACCGTAAAACGTCGACTTCATCATCGCCGAGAACAAACGCTCGCCCAGCACTTTTTCCGCGATCTTCATCAACTGTAACATTCGAAACGAGCCAAGGAAATTAGTTGGGATACAAACTTGCATATTATACATGCATAATAGTATGAATTTCAATTTGGATTTCATTTAATCCGAGTAATAATAGACTCTCGGACGCGTTTCCGCCACTTTTTAATCTACGGCTCTATATGCGGGTACCCAACGGTTAGATAAAAGCCAGCCGGCTTGTACAGCATTATGCCTGTATGTTTTGCGCATCTTAAAAATGTACGTATTGAAGTATGCATGTGGATTTTGTTGCAGAGGGAGAAGTTGGGCAGGGGGGGGGATGAGGATCGTAGAACGAATGGCAAGTCGGAAAAACCACGCAACTCCGTAGTTCAGGCAAGGTCTTTTGCACTTTTGGAAATTTGAAATGTATACTTATGTGGGTAATCCAATGTATAGCTAGGTGACATTGTTTAATATACTACATAAGGAGTGTTTGCCTTTTTGCCCACATTGTCAAACGTTTGGGCCGATATTTTCCATCCGATTGTTTTTACAACGTACGTACTACGCAACTACTCGACGGAGTAAATATTTTCGCCACTTCGATCGTATGAAAAAAAAAAAAAAAAAAAAAATCCGACAACAGACGTAAACCAACGTTTTCGGACAAACAAAATTGTTCCTTGGTAACAATCCCCGACCCTCGGAAGTATACACGCTGATGGCTATACACTTTCTTCTGCAGTTAGTGCTCCTTCGACTCTTTCTTTCAAGTTTGGCCAAATTTTTCGAAAATACCGCTTTTAGAGCCAACTGCAAGTATACCCCGGTTGGAACAAAGATAAAAAAATGATCCGAGGATCAAGTCCCCTTGATGATGATACGCGCGCCATAATGTTGTACGCACAAATCATATGGGTATCACGATGCTCGTGTGGCATTTTTACCTTAAGGGGTTCTGCACCCATCGAATCACAAACCGGTGACAGTGGCTAACTGGTAAAACGACAATTGCGAGTGGACTAGATGGGGCTGCATATATATAAATGTGCGTCGTGTGTATTATCGTGCCAGGGCTCCCCGACGAGATAAATATAATACCTCGGCTGCCACCCCGAGCTCACGCTAATTCCGAAATGTAGGAGAATCTACTTATACCTGCCTTACCGCGTGGCTCGTTACGTTTTACCTTGTACTGCATGGGCCGAAAGGTACGTGTACGAGTGTTGTGGGGTATTGCGGTCTATAAAATTCGTATACGAGTGGATCATTCATTCACTGGCTTTAAGCTGCTAATTTATCATTGCATCCAATGGTCAGTAATAAATAGCAGACTTTGTCACCGTTACAGAGTAAAACAGTCCTCGATGATGGGAGCAAATAGTTTTGCGGCGCTAAATGTGATCCATGACCGCTGCTTCTGTCGTCGCGCTGAGCGTGCACCTTGGCCATTCTGTAAATAGGTCGTTTGTTTGGCTCCGAGACGAATTCCGAGAGAATTTGGAAACTATGTAGATTTTTCTTTTTTTTTTTTTTTTTTTTTTGTCAAACAAATAAGCTGTTCGCGCGGGGGATCCCATTTTTTTCTTTCGCTCAAAAGACACTCGTAGTCAATTTTAGTTAAACATTCACCACTGCATTTACTACAAAGGAACTTTTCTCACGCCAACTCAAGTGGTAAGTATCGATTCGGAGAAATGTACATTGCTGTGATGATAAAATCTCTACTCGATAAATACCGAAAATTATCTTTATTAAGTGACTGATTGCTATTGTTTTTTTTGTAAAACAAAAACGTAAAACGAAAATTCGATGGCCACGCTACAGAATACTTAATCACCATTTCAGAGTCTCGAGTACGATAGCAGGTGTATAGCACGAAAAAAGAGGTCTGGCCGTCACTCTCGGTGCTCTTGATCATTTAAGAAGATGGTGCTAAACAATTGTGCCCGTTTGGCCGGCGAATCACGGTGTTGCAAGCTGCGACGCAACAACACACCGGATGCTTGATTTTTCCACCCTACCCTTTTTTTTTTCAACACCAGCCAGACGTTAACATAAAAATATACACAGTTGCGCGCAAAGCTCGATTATATGACTGTACATTTTTATCACGCTTTGAACATAATATAATATGTACGATTGCCTACTGTATTTGACTTGTTTTCCATAATCACACACCTCGTACAAAGGCGATGTATTCCAAAAAGGTCCATCATTGACACATTTCGTATTGATTTCCGAAAAAAACAGCCGCCGCGATTGCCCATCAAGTCGAACGTCACGCGGAAAGAGCGATCGTTCGATCGACGCGCACGCGTGTGAAAGAGAGAGGAAAAAAAAAAAAAAAAAAGTTCCCGGACCCTGTTTATGTATCGTCCTCTCGATGTTTGCCGGAGGTAAATTTGCGCAACGAGGTATATATTAAGGAACAGGCGGGAGTTATGACGAGTCCGCGGACGCAAAACGAGGGGTCTGGGGGAAAGACAACATTGTCTGGGCAAGTGGCACGCGCCGCTTTTTTGTACGGAAATTTATGGCTTATCTGTGTATGTTTGACTCGAAGTTGATAAGAGCGGATGGTGAGAAGCAGCTGATTTTATTTTTATTTCAATTGATTCGCTGATGCAAATCGAGTGCCGGGAATAACTCGTTTCCTGATATTGCGACACGAGAGTCATTGCGTCGGGGAGGATGAAAGCTCGTGGCATAATATGTCATCGGTTCTTACGACAATTGAGGGAAAACCAGGGTTTAGTACCAGGGGAGGGGTGGGGGATCTGCAGACGTCTCGAGTCTTATCGTGACTTTCGGGGCTCACTTGCAGGAAATAATTGAGCTGTACCACCGATAACATCTGAAAATGTGACCGACGACAATCGTGATTACGTGGTTACAGTTGATAAAAATTATCATTGATTCGATGTACGCGTTAGTGCCTCCACTGAAATCCACAACTTTCTAGTCGGGAAGAAAGTGCTTATCTCGGAAAATTTTATTTTCATCGAGTTTAGTGGCGTCACGATTTATTTTCTTATCTTAATGACGACGAAAATTCGTTCGAACTATATTCTTGTCTTATCTTTTTTGTACCAGTATTAAAAACATCAAATTTACACCCACACATGGTTTCCCAATGCGATAGTGCTTCCTTAACTCATCGAGTTATCGATATCGTGATCGGGGCTTGTACAAATTAACTTTCTAGCTCCTTATCGGGGACGATTCATTTGGATATTGGATTTTTTGCAATGACGCTCTGGGAAAAATCAATATTTACCGAATTGCGCGTAACAAAACCCAAGAGCGTGTATTATTTCAATTGCTCGTGAATTGCTATACTATTGCACATTTTCACGTCACATGTATGTAAAAACGTGTAAAAACATATTTATATGTACACGAATGTTATCATCGTTTCTGACAATTGAGAAGTCACCATTTTGTAGATTATAGGTCATTGGACTGACACTATATTATTATATATACGGCAACAACCACGCAAGTGCACACGTCGTAACACAATAGCACAAAGTGCATTTAAAGTAAATTTTTTATTTTAATCTCAATACACTCACATTTGAATACAAATTAATTGTGTAACAAACAATAATCGTTAGTTGTGCGTTGTGATGAACCAGAAGCAAACGAGTACTTACATTTTCTCAATAAAAGAAAAAAGGGTCGAAAAAAAAAAGAAACCAATTGGAGTTTCTCACGTGTGAGTCTATGAACAATCGGCATGACGGATAAAAACGCATTCCCGCGACGATAGAAAAGCCAGACGCTGGCCAGACAGCCTTGACGCGGGAAGGGGGGGGGGGTATTGACTCTCTCACGCACACTTTTACAGTTACACACGTGCTTCCCGATACGCCTGTGTCACGCCTATCGTATACAGGTATACATTTATCTATACGCGTGATGAGCATTACCTCCTTCATTCTGACGTGTAAGTGCAACATTTCTGGGGGGGATTGGTACAAAAAGTGAAATCATCAAGCTCAGAGTATTAACGAGATATCGGACTTCCCCGAGACGAGTTTATCCAACCAGCTGTGCTTTCCCTTTCCTTTATTTTCCTACTTTTCGTCACTTTGTCACTTTTTTTTGCGCATGTTTTTTTTTATCAATAATACAATTGCGTGTATCGTGTACAATTAAGTATCAAGTGGCTGAGTAATTGCACTAGAAAAATAATTCGACTCCGTATCGGACGATTGCTATCGCAGTCGATTGGTCTAATCGTTTCTATATAGTCAAGTTACAACGCTTATCGTCGAAATGATTTCATTGTATATACTAAGGAAAAATCGTGCATTATTTATTAAAATAATTGAATGGGATGGTGGCGTGAAATTCACAAGAATTTTGAGGGAAAAAAAAACGAGGTTTCAAATAAATACTTATGTGGAGGCCGGAAATTCTGGAAAAAAATGTCTTCTACATACCTCAAAGAAATATATCTTGAACCATATCGCCAGATATGAGACTTAAGATTTATTTGGGAAAAAAAAAAAAAAACGGAAGCTTGAAAACGTTAAAGTGAGCAGATGGTGACCAAAGTGGCAGAGAGATCGATAAGCTGGGGTATTCTCCGATATATAACCCACACTGCCTTCCCTAAAAACAGTTTTTCCTTTGTATAGTTCACGCGCAGACCTATAGCGGAAATGAATGCACATGTTCTACATACGAAACGTGTTTGAGGTCAAGCGTTGGGCACATCCACGCTTACAAGTTTTTGTTAAAAAAAAAATGTAACGACCATGGCGTAGACAATTATTGTTCACGGGATTTGTTTAGCCTCGTGTACAAGTATGGCACTTTCGAAAAAAAATGAGGAAAAATTTCGAATAAGGTGTGGCTCAAGGAACAGACAAAAAACAACTCATTGACTTTTGCCGGGCCATTGAATGGAGCCATTAGAGAAAAATGTCGCGATAAAAAAGCACTTTCGAAATCCATACAAGTGAATTGACACACTTCTTTTTTTTTCCCGCAATTTTGAAAGCGCACTTCCCCGAAATTAAAAATCCTTTTTTTTTCCAAACCCAAAGCGATAAATATACATCCCCACCCCCGAGCCAGCCGTTCCCTTTTTTCTCCCATACGCACTCCATGTACAGAGGGTCAGAGTAACTGTACGACCAAAATAAAATGAATGGTCATCGATCGGCGGAAAAAAACCGTCGAAATCACGTCAACGACCCATCAACTTGATGCACCGCACAAGGTCTCCCACACGCGAGCCTTCTATTTTCCGCATCGGCCGGTCATGGACCCGATGCGCGGAAGAGGCTGCGGAAAATAACGGACGCAAAAAAGATTTCCGCGAGTGGTAACTATATACATATAAGATAGGGACAAAAGTGCGTGACGTGGTTAGCTGGTTTGTCCGCTAATAGAGCCGGCGGGGACGAATTTATTAGCGGGCGTTTCGGCAAACAAAAACTCTTCAAAGCCGTTACTTATACGTGCGGACGCAAACGCAAGCTTTTTGACCGGCTCTGGAGTTACGCAACGCCGGTGGGATGCTGACGGCGTTGCGCCCGGATTTTTTCGGATTTCACGCGGTGATGATGAAAATCGGCTCGGTCTTGCGTTTGCTCGCATAATTTAAAAGTTCGCCGATCCCATCGGCGCACAGGATTATAAGTTTGTTTCATCGATAAGTCACGTTTGACCACGTACAAAGCACAAATATTCTCACGTATACGGATTGTAAACACGGAAATTTAGTGTCAGTGATGGCATCGAAAATAATCAACGCTGCGAGTTGGCCTTTTCTCTTTCGGATTCAAAATTTTCTGGCGAACGTATTGAAATGACAAAGAGTACTAACGATAATACAGCATACTTTTGGAAAAATGAATGAATACACGAGCGCGACTTTGATTCGCGTTGTAGTTACATATAGGCGGGTCGCGTGTGAAGGTGAAAACTATTAAAACGAAGCAATGAACGAAACCCGTAATCTGCATGTTAACGCTTGGGTTATTATATACACTTGTACGTCAAGCGTGAGTTATTACATTCGAATATAAATATGATATAGCTAATAACCTTGGAGAGGCACGGAACTTATACTCGAGTGTAGATCGGTTGAAGGAAGTTATCTTACCGATTGTACTTGTATAATGGTCTATTATTAAAACGCATTTTAGTTGGGTATATTGGAATTAATGTGCATGTGTAATTTTAAGAAAACATTGTAAAAAAAAAAAAAAATGTGTTTTTCATAAAGTGATGTCGAATGTTCTAAAAATACACATGAGATTTCGTGAAGTAAATACCTACTTACTGTGAAATAAGTACTAATACGCGCAATATGGTCATCCGAGATTTTGTACAGAATGGCCCGTCGCGAGGGGTAGTGGTTTTCCCCGAAAACCGCTCGATCACAGTATCACAAAACAAAACTCGCATACCCATATACGCGTGCAGAGCACAACAGAGCAATTATTGATAAAATACCTGCAAGTACATACTTATGCCTAGTCGAGTTTCGCGTGCTCGGATTGCAACTCTTTCGTACCGTGCGTGTATGTAACCGATCGTCAGTGACGCAAGAGCTGCATTCTTTCTCCTCCTTTGTCATGTAATTGGCATCCGTCACTGAGCTCCATGTGAATGTTGTCGTTACGCGCGAGAGAAAAAAAAAATATCCACGTGTTGCCATTTTATTTTTTACCGTAGGTATATTGTATGGGGTCCTGGAATAAAGAGTATCAGTGGATATCAACAAAACTTTGGGTAATCCAAGGGTATACGTCAAATCCACCAATGGGCGGTTGTTTTGAAAACAATGTTGCCCGCCCTACAGCGTCAATGTACCACATGTACAACACACACGTATCTGCACTCGTGATTACGACGATGATGACGAGGATCCGGTATTTAAAGTCCACCATCAGCTATCACGGGATTGCCCGTGAACCGATAATTCGCTCTTCTTCGTACTATGGCCCACTGCTCCGCTTCGAGCCGGCAGTGTCTGCTTCTCCTTTTTTTCCCCCCCGCCAAGATTATAAATTCTACTTAATTTATTTATTTTTTTTTTTTTGTTTCAAATAAATTTCCGGAAAAATAAAGCTTCGCACTTGCGATACCACATCCGTATAGCGTTCTTTTTGACGTTGCCAAGCGTGTACCGAAAGAATAAAAAATTCTCAACGAGCACGGACGCGAGGAAGAGAAAAAAAAAAAAAAAAAAAAACACTCCTAACAGCAAAAGCCCTCCTCGTTTTCTAAATTTAAGCGCCAGCTCTCGTTCTCTATAATATACATTAGTCCGCGAAAGCTTTCCTTTACTTCGCCGTTGGTGTATAAAGCATACATACTTGCGCATTGGGGGTGTGTACGTGTTTGTCGCGTTTATGAGTTCACAGAGTTGGACGTCAAAATAGTCGATGTAACTGTAACACGACCATGTGGCCAGGGATTGATTGTAAATAATTTTGTTTCGAGAGTCAAAGTGGCGGAGTGGAAAAATAACTTTGGTTAATATACATGTGTTGAAATCTTCGTCTGAAAGAAGAAAATGTTTCAATCTGACTTTGCCCCGCAAAAAGTATGCAGTCTGAGTATTTTTTTGACTTGCAAGAGTAATTTTTTTTTTTTCTTTTGGAAGGTCTAGCCAAAGTTACGGTATTACCGGTGAAATTGGACGTAAAAAAAAAATCTCGGGTGAGTACTTATCACGAGAAGCTACTGCTCTTGAGTAACAACTCGTTTTTCTCCCCAAATTCGGTCGACCAATGGCACGGTACCTGCCAGCCACTCGTGAGAATAATAAATATTTACCCAGATGAGTCTTATCTCTCTTCGCGTCTCCAGATTTTTCCCCCATATTCAAAAGAAAGACGCACGAAAGGTTGTTGTGATCTCGTAACATAAAATCGCACGATAAAGGCAAACACGCTCGAAAAGCTCCCAAGTGAAAATGTTCGTGTACCACTCAATCACATGCGCGTAAATTTTTCCAGCAGTCCAATGTATTGATTCACCCGAAATTTATCCGGCATACCATTAAAACTATATACGTGTACAGACGGATGAGCCGTAGTACACGATAATACATCACCCATCACATAGAATTCCAACTTTTACGGAATTTTCCACGAAAACCCAACTGCGCCTGGCTCTCGTTTTTTTTTTTTTTTTTTCGGTATCTACGTGGGCGGTGAGCTTTTTTTTTCTTCCGTGAATGGTACGTAAGTAGATACTCGACGAGGCATAAACGACTGCGGTGCAGTCCCATGAGTTGGAACACATGCACGGCGGGCAATGGTATAGTAGTAGTGGTATAGGTTGCCCTTCCGGCTGCTGTGCCGCGCCATCGATCAACTTTGCGCGTCTACACACACACACAGTATCGCGTACAGGACTCTTCGGTGCTTCGCCGGGTAATCAATTCATTGGTCACGTTTGTTTTCTTTTTTTTTTTTTTTTTTCGTTTTTCACGTCCCGTTGATTAGTTTCAAAGAGAGAAAAAGATATATTCAACCCCCTGCGAGGCGTCGGCTACAAATGTATACATATAATATGTGCTACCCTCGAAGGGAGCAAACGATTTGTCACCACCGATCTCTATACAGAGATGTACAAGAAAACATCCCCGAAAAGAAACATTATCCAGCAATTGTACGCATAAGAGGGGAAAAAAAAAGTCCATACCTTCATGTTGTTCTCGACGAGGAACTCGATGGAGCAGAGCTGATAGACGACGTAAGCCCTGACCAGTTCCGTCATGGTCTTGCTCTTGAAGGAAGCGACCGGATCGTTGAACTTGAGATCCAACGGGTCGACCTGGCGCTGGGCAGTTGAGGCCGTTTGCGCCCCAGCCTCGGCCTGATGGTGCGTCGCCGCGCCGGCCGTCGTAGCCGTGCTCGTGCGCTCGCGCACCACCTGCCGCAACTGCTGCTTGGCGGCGAAACAGCCGCGGCTCGGCAACCTCCTCAGGAACGCCATGTGCTCGCTCTATGGTTTTCACAATACAAAGTTTGTCCTCTCTCGCACCCTCCCCCTCCCCCTCCTTTTTTCACTCCCCGGCACTGCGGAGTTGACACACTTTGTGGCTTTGTTTTATTTAAAAAAAAAAAACTTCTTTTTTTTTTTTCTTTTTTCTTTTTTCTTTTTTCTTTTTTGCAAACCAAGGGGGGTTGGTGGTAGAAAGACACTGTTGCAAGTCACGGGGTGTGGGTCGTCGTGAATATTACAGCGCGTGGTGTATACGAAATGCACGGGAGCGAGCGAGTGTCCGAACGTCGGAGTGTTGCGTGGACGTTAGCGCGCACCGGTTAGCTCGAGCCGTACTGGTGGTGCGACGACGAGCAGCAACGCCGAGGAGGATATAGTAAGTTGGTAAGTAGGTGTGCGAGCGTGTACGGGCAGCGATTGAGCACAGGCGCACTGCAGCGTTGGTTCTTTTTCTTCCTTCTCGGTTCTTTTATTCTTCGCCTTATCTTTCTCTCCTCGGCTGTTCGAGAAAGGTGCGTATAGAGCACGACTAGCTCACACGTACAATGTGTGCCTGGTGCTTATGTGTGTGTGTGTGTGTGAAAGCGATACAGGAGCAGAGGGAGGCTCGACTCCAAAGCTCGTGCTCCGATTGCTCCAAAAACTCCGAAACGAGCCCACGCACGTATATATAGACGCGCGCGAGCCCCCTTTGCGCTCAGCCCAAATGTGATTTCGTGTATACAGCGGGGCAAGTCGGGTTTTTTTTTTTTTTTTCTTTTCTTTTCTTTTCGGTTCCTGCGAGCCAAAAGAAGAAATCGGTTCGGGGGGTAATATAAACCGAGCCTTTCCGGGATGGCTAGATAAGCGCTTGCGATTGTCTATTATAATAACATGAACTTGGGTGTCCCACTTCACCCCCGTCGGTGCACCTATCGATTTTAGCCCGTTTTTCTCTTTCCGTTTATACTCGGCCGCGTGCACACCTCGCTTTTCTCCGTTACATTGAATCATCTCCGTGGAGACGTGCTACAAACCAAGTATATAATATTAGGAGGCGTGTCTATATATTATCCGTGTGCACAATGTGTGTCAAGGGACCCATACAATTTGGAAAGACTGGTGCAGTGGCTTATGTGGGCGCTACAGATGATAGGAAAAAAAAAAATCACTCTCCTTATCCGCGTGAATGGACTTTTCTTTTCTTCCCTCTGTCAACCGTCCCGTCGGTGCACCGAGCAACTGTTTTTTTCGCATTAGAGGCTACAGTAGTTTTTTCTTAGATTATCCTACAATATGCACGGATATAGGTGTATACATATGGACTCTGGATCTTCTGTCAATGCGGCGATGGCTGTTCTTCGTCCCAAGGGCCATTTTGGGACAAAAATGCATCATGTCCTTTTTCAGTTAAAAACACGTGTCTTCAAATCGTTTTTACATATAATTATGTATGCTAATTGTAAGTGCTACCTCTCCAAACTTGCACCTATATATATACGGCTATACTTTTACAAACCTTGACGGCTTTTTTTTATAAATGCAGGGGACGCCGCTTATTTTTCATTGCAAGTGAACAAATAGGAATTTGAGAAATCAAAGTAAGGGTTGGCGAGTGTAAAAAAAATATAATTTTTTTTATTTCGAAAAAAACACACAAATGTAACTTTTTTTATCTCCAGATGTATGTATTATGATGATGGAAAATCACGCGTAACATAATTATTGATTACAATTTTAAAAAGGTACTTGGCACCATTCTAGAGCTCGAATTGCACAAAATGAGTAAATATTTATAAAATATGACACATTTATCGTGTCGATAAGTGTAAATGAAACAGGTGACGCTTCGACCGACAATTGCAGAGTGTCCAGGGTATTGGAAACTCAATACCGACGCGAACGAGTTTCGCAACTGATGAGAGTATAATAACAATAAACAAGTTCTGACTTAAGCAATGAGGTCTACACTTGTAGTAAAAAAAATTTCCTTCAAGTTTCCTCTAAAATACATAAAGCTATCAATTGTTTCAAATACCATGATAATTTCTTTACAACATGAGTTATGAAACATTCATGCATGTCATGTATTATTTTTTCATAAGTAATCGCCATATAAAATCATGAGCAGCATTTTTTTTTAAAAAGTCTTATTTTCTTTGTCTTAACTCGGGCTTGAACATTGTGTGAAAACCTTGAGAGCAAATTTCTGTTAATATAAAGAAACTGTATATTATAAGTAAAGGGGAGAATAATTTAAATTTTTAACCATACAAGCAATCTAGAGTTTAATTATACATGAGCTTCAACAACGCAACTTTCATGTTAACAATAACTTTTAATATTTTCGTTAAATTCACTTCGGTAGTAGTCGAGCAGTGAGTCAGTCATTATTTTTCGTAGAATTGTTTTTTTCCTTGGCTAATACATTATAGAACTATCAATCGTCTACATACCTACATGTGTTACAAATATATGTACCATTACGTAGAAATATTTTATGAAAGTAGCTTTTATTATCCAAATGAGTTTTAGCTTTCATTCCTTTGTGTAGTTAAAAATTATACATTTATACTCCTCACTTTCCAAAATTTAACTCGTGTTCCCATCGCAAACTCCGTTTAATTTTAAACAAAATTCCATTACAATTACACCTTTTTGTCGATTAAATTATCAATTTTAACAAGATACCGCAATAAGTTTGTATTAAAAATGCTTTCTTTAATTCATTGTCTCTGAGTGTGTGTGCATGTAGTGTGCCTGTGCACTGAGAAGCAGCCGTTACCTGCTCAGTTTTTCAATTTTCAAACAACTGTCTAGTACAACTACATAGTAACTGAAAATTTATTAAAGAACAAGACGTGGGATTCGTGCTTAACTGCAATTTAGAGTCTGATTTTCTTTGTCAAGTCAAATTATTCCTTGCAGCAGAATAAAAATCGTTCGTAACAATAATACAAGTGGATTAATTATTTTATTACACCCTTATAGACCTTATTACTTTAACTAAAATTTTTAAAAGCTGTATACCTTATTAATTATAAATAAATATGTTTAATTTCAGAATATCTCTTAATAATTTAATTATCTATTTCATAATTATGCCTGTAAAGAAAACATTGTAAAAACATTACTTTGTTACTTTTTTTTTTTTTTTTTTTTTTCAACGATTAGTATTTCAAACTCAACCGTTTGTATTACAAATTACATATTGTAACATAAAGTATGCAGCTACTGAAAGTTTATTTGCAATAAAAACAAAGTAAATATTTGCCATCAAGTGTTCAGAGAAATTTACAAAGATGCTCATGTATGCATTATGTGTAAATTCAACAAATTTTCTGAAATGAAACTTATTCTGTAGCATAAATAAACTTTCGCTGAGCCATAAACTTCCCAAAATCGGTGCCTCAATAATTCCATAAATCTGTAAAAGGCTGATTTGAGTCTCACACCCAAATTTTCAAAGACAATACACTTAAATACATGCATATCACTTGCTGCACGTATTGAGAGAAGAAATCTCGTCCGAGCCGAAAACCGTTAATACTTACCTTTTGAATTTTCTAGAATTCCCATCGTCTGGGGGGACGTAAATCTCATTCTTTGTACCTACGTCACATCTTATATATAGTCTACTAGTCTACATGGCTCGTTTTTCCCTCCATTATTTTCAGCGCATGTGTACGTGCTTTTATGCGCGCGCCCTTGCGCAGATTAAACTGAATCAGCAAAGCGCACTGCGATTGGCACATCCAGCCAGCCATTGGTGCTTTCGGCCAATCACAGCCTGCCATTTGCCGCCCCTTGTACCTATTAGGGGCAGACGTGCGCAGCCGAACTGCTCGAATTAACTCAACGCATCATCTCAACGTTCTCGTTTCGTTCACTTGGCCCGCGGACTCGGCCGTGATTCAACATTCCTTGATGAAGAGTTGGCAGAGTAATGACCGGCTGTACAACCGCGTGACCAACGGGCATCACCTATAGCCTTCGGTCGCTTAAATGCTGCATCCAGTCTTGAAGAATGAAGGTCTGTTTCTTTGTTTCTTTGCCGGCCACGCGGAAAGGGCCACTTAATTCGCTGTGTTGTCCATAGCGAAACACGCCGGCTACGCCTTCGATACGTTGCATCAATGGCGGACACCGGCAACGTAAGCGGGCGAGGCTCCGCGATCCTTCATAACACGTAGAGGTACGTTTTTCTTTCACGTCTGCAGTATTTCCTTTTTGTTTAAGTTTCAAGGTTAGTCAATTGATTTGAAACGATTCAAATTTTTTATCGATAGCTGCGTTCGCGTAATTATCACAATGCAGAGTTCTTTCAAGTTAGTTATACACGTGCTGTAAACTAACCTCAATAATCATTTGTCATCTTCAAGATGGTTTTTACAGTTGTCCCCATCTATTTGTTACACCCAACGATAATAAATGTAAATCTTTGACTACTATTCATGGAATCCGTATTTACCTCAGGATATCATTTAGACTTAAAGTAATATTTTAAACATATTTTCAGTTGCGCGTTAACTCCAAACTTGATAACTTAACCACTAGCTTGTGTCAAAAACTACTTGAATTAGGTAGAAATAAGTTTCTTAATCCACAAAATTTTTAAATAAGTACTTGAACTGTAGTAAACAAAAGTTTTCCCCGCTGCCATTTCTTAATTTTTTTTTTTAGTCGTCTTGATTTGTTCGAATAATAAGATTTCTTATTACAAATCAGTAAAAATTGTACAGATTCAACCTTCTAATTAAATCAAAAAAATTCTTGTCTCCAATTTCTTATTAAAAGTCTTTTTCCTTTTATGTAACGATTTAAATTCAGTTTTCTTTATGTACATTGTAATGTAGGTCTAACGTCATTTGTTTTATTTTTCAGATTAATCTACGTTTGGTTTACTTGATCAAAAGATGAGGACACCATGTAACCAGTCCACATTTATTACAGTACAAAGAATACTTGGAGTGTTGTCATCCTAATCAAGTTGAGGCGATTACTGTAACTTGATTTCTTCATGTTTCTAACTCAATTATTGAGTTTTACCTCCTAAAACGAGTTTTCGTTTTTTGTGTCATGAGAACCAATTTCATAATACTCATCACATGGCTCGCTTGGTATGAATTGTTAATTTCATACCAACATCTAAATAATATTGCAAAAAACTACCTTCAGTTTAGCAATTATACTCTAAACGAACGTTTCGGCATTAATACCTGGTACGTTTACTGTTACACTCTCAACGAATTCTTAAAAACCGTTGTATTAGTTATGGACAGTCTTCATGAGATTTAATTGATATCTTAACCGTACGTTTCGACAAAACCGATAGGTTCTTTACTTAAACTCTAAAATTAAAAATAATTTTAATTCAATATAAGTTAAAACTATTAAATTTGAAATTACGAGACCTCTCTGTACCGAAAAGTTTACTAACTTATTATCTTTAATTCATCTTAAAAATCTAGCTCACTTAAGATTCCAAAGAATCTCTGCAAATCTTTAAATTCTTAATTTTTTAAAATTTAAATTTAAATGCATTATTAAAATCCAGCTCACTTAAGATTCCAAAGAATCTCTGCAAATCTTTAAATTCTTAATTTTTTAAAATTTAAATTTAAATGCATTATTAAAATCCAGCTCACTTAAGATTCCAAAGAATCTCTGCAAATCTTTAAATTCTTAATTTTTTAAAATTTAAATTTAAATGCATTATTAAAATCCAGCTCACTTAAGATTCCAAAGAATCTNAAAAAAAAAAAAAAAAAAATTGTTTTTCCCGTTCGGTGAGGTGACTTTTCGTGCCAAGATAGTGCCGTAACATGGTGGTAAAGACCGAAGGTGTCGGCCGGGCTCAGCTCGAGCGCAGCATCGATTGCCTAAAGTACACGATACTCTGCCTCAGCGTGATCATGCTGGTGAGTCCGACACGCGCGTAAGGATTGAAAAAAAAAAAAAAAAAAAAAAAAGATCTTGTGACTGCGTGCGCGCAAGCAGCGGGTAACCCACGATCATAAAAGTAAGTTAATTTAACGTTAAAATCTAGCTCACTTAAGATTCCAAAGAATCTCTACAAATCCTTAAATTTTTTTAATTCTTAATTTTCAAGTGTAAATTCAAAGTTAACTTTAGCTCAAACATGATTCCTAAGAATCTTTGCTAAATCACATCATTCTCACCTAAACAAATTGAATTAGTCCTTTTAATGTTATTAAATTATTTGACTTTAAAAGATGAAGTTAGCTCATATAAGATTCTAAAGAATCTCTACTAAATTATAAATTAAATTCGTCGATGAAAACTAGCTCACAAAGTTTTCTTTATCTATGGAATATTCCTTAGTTAAATAAAATAAAACATTTAACTAAGGTATGAAAAAATACACCCGATCATAAACATTAAACCAGGTACTACAGTCGAAACGTTCGTATAAGGTATCATCATGTGTTATTTAATGTTAATGTAAGTTTTTATTTATATTTTGTTAAGTTAAATCGATTGTTTATATGTAATAAATAAAAATGTTATAAAACTATGTTGTAATCAATTCAAGCATCCCTTAGCCTCCTGTCTCTCTTTGATAATTTTTAAAACGATAAGAAATTGAATATTTCTCTACTTAAAATCTTGACATGTAAATTTAATGGGCAGCATTCTTAATGCAAGCTTCTTTGATCCATTACTACACGGCAAAATTTTTTGACAAATCGATTGTATTAAAACAATTGGTCTTAATTGTGATAACTCGCTGAAATGAGCCATCGAAGGCACATCATTCTGTGTTCGTTCTATTAAATAACATTTAACTTCCTTTCCATCAAATTTTAAGATTTTTTCATGCAGAACTTGTCTACAGGCTTAGTTGACAAGTAGTCTGCTTCATACATGTGATTGGTGTGGTCAGTTGATGAGTGACAGTGATGGATGGAGGGTCCACCAATATACACATCACTCAATAGATTATTGATTTTAAAACTAAATAATTTTATAATTTTACATGATCAAGATTTTTTTCGTTGCTTGGAGTAATCTGTAATTTTCGTTTAAGTGTATTTATTTACATATCATCATTGATGTGTTTTTCTACATCATTAAAAGTCTAACCTTTAAAACTGCCAATTCAACATGAAACATCAGTTTAGAGTGATTGTATGCAAGAATAAGTCTACATATGATGATGTTATAGTTTCTTGTCAATTTATTTGTCAGTACAACAACGTTGGTGCAGTTAAAAAAGTTGAATGTCAAAAATCAATCACTGCTTGTGATTGCATTCACAGAAAAAGTATTCTGCCAGTGCTGTTGAGGGAGAAAGGATTCAATGCATATTTAATTTCCGCATATGTATATACGATGAAGCGTTCAAGCATTTACAGAAGATCAGCAGTTCTGAAGCTGGTGCACTTTTTAGAAAAGAGTTGCAAACAGCTTGACTCAGTGGAACCTGTGATACTAATCAAATTAAGGACTCCGCACGATCAATTCCTAGATTACAGATGGTTAGCATGCATTTAATATATAGTCTCGAGACAAAATTATCTGTTAAAAAATTTGTACGTCTTTAAATTAGGAATGAGATATTAACTCGAATGACCAGGGAACGAGAAGAAATAGACCATGCAATGTCGTGGTTGTCAACATTGGGAGGTGCCTTTTCATCTCTTGGAGATAAGTTCGATCGTTGTGTAAGTTGTTAAATTATTTAACGTGTCAAATTAAATTGAAGCCTAGTGTCACGAAATTATTCATTTGACAGGCTAAATTAGCTGGCAAAATATCGGTTGAGCAATTCAAATTAGCCATGAGATTGGGTGATCCTCAGTTAGTTGCTCGCTGCAAGCTTTATGCAGCCTTGAGTCTGCTTCAGCAAGGTCATTTAAAAGCTGCTAGAAACATGGTAAGGAAAATATTTCAATTTGCTGTAAACAATAAAGATGTGAGGTTGCAAAGAATGTGTCAAGGTGTTTGGGCCAAATTAAGGTATAGTTACCATCAAAGAAAACAAAGAGTTAAGTAACCAAGTGATTTTTAAGACAATTGATGAAAAAACAAAAAAAAAATTGTACATCAGGTGGTAGAGGAGTATATTTGTAAATGAATAAATTCGTAATATTTTCTCAAAGTATAGTATGTTTATTTGTAGTATGAAGATTTCGTAATACTTTTAGAAATCAAAATTATCTTTTTCATGCATTTTGTTTATTACATGGTATATTTAATAACTTATAAAAGAAGAAATGCACCATGATTACTTGTCTTCAGACTTGACTCACAGTTCAGATCAGCCACATACACTTCGTTCATTTATCGTAACATCAGTATTTGAATTGACAATTTTGTACTGGTTCAACAAAAGTCAATTCTTAATTTTGCTTTAAAAAATGGTACACTCATGAAAATAACAAAAATATGGCCTTTTACAATAGTTAAGTACCAAAATTAGATATAAAAAAATTAGCTAAAAAATTGACTCCGACTCCCTCCATGTTTGCATCAGCTAAATCATTTTTTTTTTTTTTTTTTTTGCATTATTAGTTTTCTGTTACCTTTACTTTTAATTACAAAATTTTAAAAGAGATACAAATGCAAAAGTTTCATCAAGTTATCACTGAGCGAGTGTGCCCATTGGATCCCAAGCAGGCAAGACAGTTGGCTTTTGTTTGTAAACATCTAACACCTCCTGGGGCACGTGCTTTTTGTCGATAACTGCCTCAAAGACGAATTCATGAAACCAGTCCCGTGTCATCACAAGGTAGCCCTTGTCTCCGCCACGATCCTCGCCCCACGAGTTTTCAACCCTAAATTTGATTGGATTTTCTTTTTCCTGCAAGATGAAAAAAGCATTACATGTACATATATACCAGAAACACTGCAAAGATAAGGGAAAAATATCGTTTAAAAAGCGAATACTCCACTCACAACAAAAACAGGTGATGTTAGAAAGAAAAAAAAAAAAAAAAATTAATTAATAAATTCACAATCAAAAAGTAAAAAGAATTTTTGCACTAACGTCAAGGGTGACCCCAGTGAAGACCATGGCGTGGGTCATGGAGGACTCGCCGTAAAGGAGCCGATCAGCCTTGTTCAGGCCGACCTGGAAGTTGGTGCCGAAAACGCTCTCGTAGTTGTGGACGTTGAGATCCTGAGCGCCGATCTTGCCGGAAAAACGCTTGGACACCTCGCAACCGAACCAGACGGGCTCTTTGGCCTTGATGCTCTCAGCGCAGAGTTTGATCAACAGCTCGACCGGCTGGTTATTGTATATGGTATTCCTGCCTCCCACCATATTGTTCAGACAATCTACCGTGTAGAGCTTGCCGTAGGGATGACTCGTACGCGGATCCGTCACCAAGCATACCTTGTCGTCGATGTTGAAGCACTGCTTCACGTATTTCTCGTAGAACTCGAGTCCGCTCACCGGGCCGATGCTATGGTAGGCCTTCGACTTATCGTAATACTCCCAGGTAAAGGTCTCGGGTGGTATGCCCAGGCAAATCCCAACTATCCGATAGATCACCGTCATCTGCTTCAGGATGGTTCCCTCGATCTGTCGATTATTATTCAGTAATCACCATCATCATGGTACAATTGAGCAATATTATACAGTAATGACGACGATAGCCGCACCTCTTCGTCGGAGGCGCCGGATTCAACGAGAGCCCGTAGAATTTTGGCGTACTCGCGCAGCTTGCTGGTGAGCAGCGAGTTCATCCTGCTCGACATCTCACTGCAAAACGACTCGGGGAAGCAGACCTTGGGCATGAGGCCGTACCGGTTGACCAGGTTGACGATCATGTCCCACTGACCGCCGTCGTTTATGGGTTCCGAGAGCAAGAACTGCACCACCCGGCTGTCGAGTTCATCGCCGCGCTTCGCCGTCGTCACGATATTGTGAAGGAAGCAGTTGCTTCTCTCGATCTGGAGTGAGTGACAAGAAAACAATCAAAATCCATACAGATGGTCGTTCCAGAAGTAGGTATACTGGCATGGTGTAATAATTATCTATTGAACTCCAATTGAAGTTCCAAATGAAAAAAAAAAAAAAATTTAATTTTTCAAGCTCTCTAACCGATATGTGGAAACTCAGATAAGTCAAAACGTAAAAAAGCTGATTTTAATTCCCATTGGTTTTATGAATTCATCATCCGTTCAATTTAATGGCACAATAACTATGATTTCAACATTTGCATGATTTTTCGCCCAAAGTTCAGTTTCTTGGCATACAATTACGCAGCATGCATCAGTCAACGATCAATCATTTTGGTGTACAAACAATGGAATAAACCTGAAATAAATACTTTACCTTGTCCCAAAAGAAGAGGTAGTTCTGACTGAACTCAAACTCCTCGAGGTTGTATTGCTTGATGAAGGGCACGCGTATGCTGTTGAGCACAGCAAAGAGCCAGCAGCGGCCACTGCTCTTTTGGTTGGTCACCGGCTTCGCCTCGGATTCCACCTTGTGCTGGAACACGTGATTCGTGCGCTCGATCGCTTGACGATTGATACACGCCTCCAACGGGTCCACGCGGGTACACGTGTTCTGGGCCTGGATGTTGCCCCGCTCGCTGTAGAACTTGGTCCGCAGTTCCTTGAGCACCTCTTTGGTCAGCACGCCTGCTGCTCCGTCGGGAATCATTGTCATTTTGAGTTTAGTTTAATTTTTCCTTTTTTATTTATTTATTTATTTTTATTTATTATTACATATATTTTTCGTCACTAAACAAATACTTCTATGCGTACAAGGTACTTTTATAAACAGGCTTTGTTCAGTTTTTTCGGTATTTATATAAATCCTAGTGCGCTAGAAAAACGCGAACGTTAATTGTGTTGCCGTTTTTTTTTTTCATCGTGTGGCTTTTCTATCCTCATTATTAAAACAAGATCTCTCGTGCATAACAGCTCTAGAGAAAAAAAAGTGATTCCTTGCAAACTTTGTACTTGTATCATTGTATCGCCAGCTCATATTTGAGATGAAAATAAAAAAATAAAAAAGTCACGCGAAGCTCCCTCGAATTTCTTTGAGGCTTAGAAAATCGGTATTTTAAATAAATCATCCGAAAGGTCCTCGACGGCACTTTCTCTCCCTACTCGCGAGTACAGACATAGACATGAAAGCTCGTCTTGGACGAGTACTTAAAGGCGCTTTCGGTGCGCCCCTACTTTTCGTGCAAAATTTAACGATTTCTGCCAATACCGATCGCCACACGATAAACGTATCAAATGACAAATGATGTGGAAAAACAACTCTACATGTGTATCCCATTCCGGCTGTTTTTTTTTTTACGCACGTACAACCCGAGCTTACCAATTTTAAGCTGAAAGTACCTATTTGCGAGAATAAAATGTACACAAAGGTCCCTTCCTCCCCGCGGATATCGCTTTCACGCGAAGAGTAAGCATTTCGCAGCCAATCAATTAATTTCCTCCGACAAAGCATCACCTTTCCTCCCTCCCGAGAGTGGAGACTTTTTTGCGAGTAAATATACATTCGAGCTATCGTTGCGAGTTATCAAAGCCTTATCTGTGAAACCGGGACGATTTGCCCTCCTTTGTACCGTCGCGTTGTTACTTTGTCTAGTGGACGTGTACAATAGCGTATTGTATGACGCCCGAAACGAAAGCTCAGTTAAAAAAATGCGCTCTGTTTCTTTACGAAAGAAAGAAAAATTACGAGAGACCGTGGAGAAGGTTTCGTCATATGTGTGTTTCTTTCTTTTTTTTTTTTTTTTTTCAAGTTGGCATGGGAAGTATGAAAACGAACGGGGCGTGTCCTTTTGCTTTTGCAGCCAATTGTGATTTTAAACAAAAACAAAATCAATCATTTGGGTTGGATATTCATCACGCATGAGCCAAGCGTACAGCGAAAATTGGCGTTAAGCGTAAGTATAATAAATATACAGTCGTGAAAAGCCTCGAGTGTCCGGATAATGTAACTCGCCAGCGGATCGTAATAAGAGACGGCTATTGATAAAATCAGCTGATAGACAAGAGTCTCGAGTATGAATATATATCATACACAAATCTATTCAGGACGAACAATACAGCATATTGTTTGCTACTTGCGTTATACGTTATAGAGGTACACTCGGATAAAAATACATATTATAAACCGTAGAGGTCGTCGCGATATCGATTGAGTTTGGCTGAAATAAACGTACGTTCCCCCTAACAATTGAAGACAATATAACAAGTACTGTAAGTAATATGTACGTCATTCCTTGGTGTGTTGCTTTACTGCAGAGGATACACTTACAATTGAAACTCAAGCTATGGTCAGCCCCATCGAATAACAAAGGCTAATTCCCGATAAATTTCATGCTCCGAGATGATGACGTTCACTGGTACTCAAAGAACATTATTGGTTTTGCATTTATACTTTTCACAATAATTTAGATTATCCCTAACAAAATTGATCTTTTTTTGGCATACGGGGTGATTGATATTTGTTTCACCATTCGTGTATCCTGAATATACAAGTTCTATCAAAATTTGGTCATCATCAGACTTAAAGGACCCTTTTTTTTTGTTCTCAACGTGTAGTAAAAAAATTTATCTCAAGTTTTTGGATGTACAAAGATGATTATTCATAGTAGCACCTCTGACAGCAGTGAGGGTTAAAAAATGTATTTTTTATCCTCGATTGTAGAAAAAAATTTAAATTGAGAGGTAAATTACGCCCAACAGCTTGAAGTTTGGAAATGGATGAGAAACGTGCTTTGAGGGAAAAGAAAATTGAAAATATTTGGTTGCAGCTTCGTTTTGCCAGATTATTGGGAACAGAAAAATAACATAAGAGCCATCAGAAGACTTCGCTCGGACCCTCAAAAAAATTCCTGAGCGGCTTAAGTGTAGCTCTGTGCTCCAGTGCTCCTTCCAAAAACCGCTGCAAGACAACCCAACACAATGCGTACTTATACCTATATGTATATACACACGAAGAGCTGATATATTATGAAGTATACATGGAGAGGAGAAGAAAGAAGAAAAAGAAAACAGATCACGTCAAAGAGATTTGAGGCTTTTGAGAGAAGCGTGTGTAAGTATATATATATATGTATGTATAAGTGCAGCTGTACGGAAAAAAAGACGAGAACTCCACGATTCTGCATAAGTGTACGTGTAATGCATACGCGCATATTTGCACGTGTATGGGTGCGTACATGTTAACCGTGTTTCGTATATATTCGCGCACAGCTGCAGCTAGCGCAGCAACGCCTCGTCGCATTGTGCAATTTGCATGTATGAAAATGCGATACAGGCATTTGTATACACACACGACAATAAAATTTACAGAGAATTAAAGCTCCGAAATGCCAAGCAGACAGAATATCAATTGATGTTCAACATTTTCTGGGGGTTTTATTTTTGCACGCGATTCTTTATAGCTACGCTCCAGAAAGCCTTGATTTTCCCAATCCACCCTTTAATTTTGCACACGCACGTAACAAGGAGCGTGCAGCTGTTTGGCTATATACCCAGTGTCGTTTAACGTGGTCTTTGATGAAATGATTAATATGTGTGATAAAAAAAATTAAAATTAATTAACAAAAAATTTAATGCGAGAAAAGTTTACAAGTTAGGTTCTTTTACTTACTGGCAGCCATGTTTAACGTTCCAAGCTTTTTGTAAGCACGATCGAGAAATATAAGCGACGCAGCCGATGAGCTTTCCCCCGATGAGTGTGTGTATGTATCTGTGGGTGTTGTCTGTACACTGTACAGCAGCCTCGAGCAATACGAGTGTATAAAAAAACAAGCAAAGTAAGACTGCAGGGAACGTCGACGATGACAACTTTCGCAGAGCCGGGACGCACAAGTAGTGCCGCTATTTTACACACAACAAGGCGATATAACAGTCGCTTGCTTGCTTATACCTACTTACTCTCTATACGGAAAGAGAAAGTATACCCGTCCCGTCTTTCTGGGACAGTACCAGTAGTCTACCGTCTACCAGTAGCCGCAACCAAGAAAACAAAGATGCCGGTTACCAAGGCCAGTGACATCTTGTGACTGAATCGGCAAAGCAAACTCGATTCACTAAAAAGTACATTACTGGTTACTGGTCGCTGATTTAATACTTGCGATGACACAAAGTTTACCTCAATCACTTATAACGTTGCAATAAAGTTTTTTGTGGTGTTATTGATGTGATAATTCATAAGCACACGTAGTCTTGTGTTAACAATTTGATTAAAATTTTTATTAACTTTTCTGAATTTGACTTTTCGTTTTCATTTATAAAAGATGATCAGATGAGTCTCTTAGTACTTAAAGCATTTATAAAATGAACATTCATTATATTTTACTATTAATTGAACTCTGTAGTAAACATTTTCTTGTAAAATATAATGAACTTAGCATTTACTTTTCACTTTCTTAAACTTACACTAAAAACTTACAAAGTACTAATATAATGTATGAGCTAATAATATCGCGTCCTAAGAAGATAATATATGTACAAATTTATGTTTGTTGTAGTTATAGCGCTCAATTTATTAAACCGAGACACGTTTTGTTTCACTGCAATTTTATACTTATTTAGTATTACTCTCATTACAATTTCATTTGTTGTCTCAAGTATTAGCATTAGGTGAGGTAGATTCATCAGCTTTTGACTCTAAGGAAAACGGTGGGATTCTACAATCAAAGGCATAGCCATCTTCCCTTTCCATCCTAAAGGTTCCCCTATAAAATATGAAAAAAAAATTATTTATGTCGATCATTAAGACAAGTTTTATTTTCCAAGAATATATTTATTGAAAAAACGTACCACATATGTCCACTAGGGGCTTGCAAACTAACATGACTACTATACTGAAAAGCGGGTAAGCTTCTCGATAAGACTGGTTCCTGACCAACTACTCCTCTCCCCCGCACTGTTTCTAATGTGCCAGATAAACTAAATATCCTCCAATGCCTCTCTCTTAATTGTACACTTAAATCACCCATATTTTCAAGCCTTATGCAGTAACGCCACTAAAACAAATTGTATCATGATAAATTTCGCTTCAAAAACTCATTGAACTCAGGAATCGTAGACATGCCTGATTATGACTCATGGTAGTATTGAAAGTAACTTACCCAATATACTGATGTAGTTTGACTAACTCTGCAACCCATATAAAATGGTATAACAGTGACTCTTATATTTTCAGTGGTCTCTTTATGGACATCAGACAATTCCAGCCAGGGATGATTCTTTTTTTGCCATGCTTTTAATGTTTGTTGAGGAACGAATGGAGGATCTTTATCAGAATGATAGGATAAGAATTTGTCAAAAAGCTCGTGCTGCAGAGCAGGCTTCTCATTAGTTGTGTAAGGTATTATATCTTCGTGGGCTACATAATCGAGTCCTGGTATGGCATAGAGACTTCTACTGCTTTCGTGATTTCCAAGAAATGTGACTGATTCATTTTGGGCTCTCTGAAAATTAAAAAAAAAGTTACACTACAACGTCAACAAGATGTAAATAGGCAAATCATATTTTATATACATTGCCAGAATGACTTACGATATAAGGACAGTCCCTCTGATCGATTAGAACTTGATAAAAGGTGTGCGTTTTTGCTTTTACTTCTTTGCCAGTTCCATAAGTACCAGTTTCGGTTCTAATACAAAGCATAATTTGATTGTTCAAATCATGTGTTTGTTATTAATTTTTTTTATTTCGAAAAAAACACACAAATGAAAACAGAAATAAAAGCTTCTATAAAGTGTACTAACACGAGTACTTAAAAATTTTAAGTTATAAAAATTAAAAGCTACAGTATAAATTTAGTTGAAAAAGTACAATTAATACATCATAAAAGCTCACCCTTCCTGTTTTACAGGCAAATTTCTGTCAAAGACCCTGGCAAGCCATGGAAAAAGTACAACCCCTCGATAGCCAAAAACTCTGTGCAAAATAAGCTGTCCAGCCTCGTAGTTGCCCTGCAATTTCGGTGCTTCCAATTTGCCCACCTCTGCCAACCTACAACGCGATAAACGACCAAGTATTTTCAGTTCAGTCTTGCTCTTAATTATTATGCTGAAGTACAACAAACTAATAGACGAAAAATAAATAATTCTCTTACTATTAGATTAAATCTTTACGTAACAAAAACGTTTTTTTTTTTTTTTTTTTTTACCCAAGTCGTACCTGATGTAACTGGCAACTTGAACGCCATAGATACTCTTGCCGGCGTCGAGAAGTGGTTTTCGCAGAACCTTACCGAGGACGACGAGCGACAGCTCCATTGTCGCGTGTTCACTAGGACGGATTGCACTTGCTTGCGCTGTTTGTTTCTTTTTTTTTTTTCCTTTTCCTTTTAACTATTATTACTTACACTCGGCTTGTGCGACTTGCGGAGGAGAGGATTAGGTGGGTCTTGAAGAGTGAGAGCAGAGCTACTCATCTCTGGTGAGAGTGAGAGCGACGATGGAACGCTGCAGTGTGTGCACGCGTGTGCCGTCTCTTCTCGTCCCCGGCTCGTCGCCGAGCCATCTATATGTTGTGACTGTTGTGACGTTAACATACACGCGACGCGAGCTATATAGCTTTTAAAGGACGTTAGTCCGACCCAACCTTACCGTCAAATGTTATTTAATTTTTTACGAATAAAAATGTTTCAATTGCATGTATCAAGTATATTTTTACATTCGGTACAATGCATTAGAAATGTTCTCTCGTTTCAAATGCAATGTTTATGATAAATTAAACGGTATACGTGCACAATGTTAATGTACATCGAGTAATTTGTGGGTTCACAAAAAATAATAACAATTAAATGATGAAAATAGAAGAAGAATGAAGAGCAGGAAAAGAGCACATCTCTAAACTATACATGAATAGAACGTACACATACATAATATGTATTGTATTACAATATATTATATATTTTAACACGGGAGTGACGGGAGAGAGAAGCGGCAGAGGAGAAGTGGAAAAGAGTTGGCGGGGTGGTGCGATGAGAGAAAAAAAAAAACGTTCGTCTGCTAGCTCTGCTGTTTTCGTTCTGCCGTCCAAGGTCTCTTCCTCTTCCTCCTCCGCCTCCACTTCTTTCTCCTCACGCGGCATATCTTGCCATTGTTGTTGAGAAAAGAGAGAGAGCAAGAGTGAGGTTGTTACGCCTTGTTTTCAAAGTTAATAACAACCTCCTCAGAACCCTCCAGGATGAAGTTGAAACGCAGTTAAACAGAGACATACACAAGTAAGTATCTAACGAAAGTGTGTGAAGTAGTTTTTTTCTTTTCAATTTATTGTTTGCATCTTAAACTGTGTTGGTTAAAGTTTACTGAGTTGATAGTATACGACCAAGAGAGAAATGGCCAAAGACGAAGGAGATGATCTGCTGCCTGACAAGGATGCTGCCAAGGGCTTCTATGCCAAGTACGAGCCCAAAGAGATCCTTGGAAGGTAAATAATTTTTTTGTATGAATGCAATAAATACACTTACAGTCGATGTTGCAGAATACGCGTTTATTCATTTTTTTGTCACCAAGTGTTAACTAAGAGTCAAGTGATGGTTCATCATGTTTAGGTAAAAAGTAAATAGCAGCATAAAAATCTGTTTTGTTATTCATTGTTGGTTGAAATTGAAAGCAATCAGAGAAAGTTTAACCTCCAACTTATGTAATTTACTTAGGAAAAGAAGAAAATCATGTATACGGAAGCCAAAAAACCAATACTGTGATGTATTATGATGGCTGCTTAAGGAGATGGTCTTTTTTTAGATTATCGTTTAGTTAAGAGCTATATACGATTTGCTAGCGAAGTATGATGTTGTATTGTGCACTGTATATATGGGTGTGTGTGTTCATGTAGCTATACCTGACGCGTGACCTGCGTTTACCTATGTTGGCTCATTTTTTTCCTATTTTTAATTTTTTCTGGCAGTTTATTGTTTTGTCACGATAGCTATAATCGTAGAATGATTGGTCAATTGTAATTTAATATGTGAATATTTCCGTTTTTGTTTCTTTCAATTTCAATTTGCTTATGGTGACTTTATTTACAAGCTTTGATAGTATGTTTGTACGTCCAAGATGTATGTGTCAAGATCGACTGATCATCAGTCAATTTCTTTCAATTTTACTCAATGAATAATTGATGACTATTATAGTTAAATGAAGCACACAATGCTTTGCTATGGACCTATGTCTACAGCATAATATTGACAATGTATTTTGTCATGATAAAAAATCTTGCATGCAACTTTATTTTGATATGAATTATTTACTTTTCAGAGGAATCTCGTCTACAGTGAGAAGGTGCATAGAAAAAGAAACCGGCATAGAGTATGCAGCAAAAATTATAGACATAAGCTGTGAACCACATGATGGCATTGATTCTCATACTATGAAAGAGGCTACTATGCAAGAGGTGCAAATTTTACGGAGGGTGGCTGGCCATCCTTACATAAGTAAGTTTCAATTCCAAATTTACATGAACTAGAAATGGCTTTGCATTGTATAATAAAATGAAATTTTTATTTTGCTGCAGTTGAACTACATGATGTCTTTGAGTCCAACACTTTTATCTTTTTGATATTTGAGTTGTGTAAAAATGGCGAGCTCTTTGATTATCTTACATCTGTGGTAACACTATCAGAAAAAAAGACTCGATATATTATGAGGCAGGTTTTTGAAAGTGTACAGCACATTCATAACCAAGGGATTGTACATAGAGATTTAAAGCCAGAAAATATCTTGCTAGATGACAACCTTAATGTAAAGATAACTGATTTTGGCTTTGCTAAAATTTTGAAACCAGGAGAAAAGCTTTATGGTAAGTCTACTTTCATTTTCTATAATTTATCTAATGAGTATGTATTACAGTTAGTTTTAATGTTTTCTTTTAGATCTTTGTGGTACACCTGGTTATTTAGCACCTGAAGTATTGAAATGTAATATGTTTGAAAAGTCTGATGGCTATGGCTTTGAAGTCGACATGTTAGTTTATAAAAAAAGAAAGTATTAAATTAATTCAATATATCTAACCTTTGAAATTGTTTCTTTCATGTTTAGATGGGCATGTGGTGTTATTATGTTTACGTTACTTGTTGGATGTCCACCGTTTTGGCATCGAAAACAGATGGTTATGCTTCGAAACATAATGGAGGGAAAATACTCATTCACCTCACCAGAATGGACTGATATTACTGGTAAATGTTTTTTTTATACATTAACTAAAAAGGTGAGTTTCTTGAATCATACAACACGTTTAAATTTTTTTTTTTTTTTTTTTTTTAGATGCTCCAAAAGATTTGATACGTAAATTATTGGTTGTTGATGCTACGAAAAGAATAACAATAAAGGAGGCGTTAGAACATTCATTCTTCCACACAGTGGTGAGTTTCAAGGAGGAAGCAAATTTTTACTGCTTGGGATATTTAGATTATCATTATTTAAATTGTATTTTTATATTCTAAATGAAGGTTTGTGTAAAAGTAATGCGACAGTATCTTCAACTAGATTAGTAAATTCTAACTTTTTTTTATGTTTTGATTCATAGAAATTTTTGTTATGCACATATATTTTTTTTCCTATCAGTCATTTTGCTATGCACATGGTTTTTAAAACAAATTCATTAAGAAAAACATCTAGTTTTTAGTTTATCACAAAATTTGACAAATATTTAAATATAGTTCTAATAGTACAGAAGGTAATGAACTCATCGTATTTACAGCTATGGGATCAGGATATTGCTCCCTTAAAACGTTCTCTGTCCTCTAATTCACGACGACTCAGTCGGATATCACAGTTAGCTTTGGTAATCCCCGATTTGACTGAATTTTTGATTTTTTTTTTCTTTTCAACTAACCAGGCTGTATATAAAACGTTTCTAACGAACATGAAGTTTGTGGACTGAACATGAGAATCATCACATTTTAATCAACCACATAACGAAATTACAGGGTTAAAGATCATTTTCTCATTTACTCGTAACTACTAACCAAGTAACGTAAATCTTAGAAAAGCTTTGTCAGTTTCCTTTTGCCTAACAATTTATTTTCAAGCTTGCAACATTTTGGTGAGATTGAATGTCTTATTTGTGTCTTACCTTCAACTAATTGATTTTTTTAGCATGTATTAACATTTATTTGAATCTATGTTATATTAACTTTAACTATTTTAAATAGAGTTTACATTAAAATTGTTGAGAAATTGGAGTTTAACTCGTTACACTTGTCTTAAGTAAATTGGCTTTACTGAAAACCAGCATAATCAAACAGAACAAATGCATAAATGTAAATGATATAACAACTGTCCAAAATAATACCAGAAATATAATTATTAATTTTTTTTTTAAATTAACATCTAAATTTTTTTCATCAGGAATTGAAAGCAAAATCGTTCAATGCAAGGAAAAAATTCCAACTTGGTATTCTCTGTGTTCGAGCTGTTGTAAGGATTAAGAGACTACACACAACTCCAGAGCCACTCTCTATACAAGTGGCATGTACAGATCCTTACAGGATTAAAGTTCTTAGAAAAGTATGTAGAAAGCATTTGAAAAAATTTTTTACTAATCATACTCAAATTTTTATGGAAGAAAAAATGGACTTTCGAAAAAAATTATTCTTCAGGTGATATTAACAGAAATTTTGTAAATAGTATTTTTGAGTATGACTAGTAATGATTTTCCACGAGAATGTGATTAAACGTTATTTGTAAAATGGAAATATGTATCATTACAGGTGATCGATGGATGCGCCTTCCGAGTTTATGGGCACTGGGTGAAGAAAGGAGAAGGACAGAACAGAGCCGCTCTTTTTGAGAACATGCCTAAAACAGACTTGAAGCATCTCTACGTTAGTAATTTAAGCAGATAGCAAATTTAAATTAAAGAGCACGTTTTCGTACTCTTCAGACGCTTTTAAATATAATTTTTAGAAAAATGAATATAGTTCAAATTTTCAACTGAAAACTCTGGTGGATAAGTCAGCAGTTGGTTAAAACTACTTACTAGAATTTGAATTTACACAACCATAAAGTTCCAACAAACAAATTTTTTTAAAGATATATATTTTATATTTTTCAAAAGTTATTAAAGTCAGTTTACCACGTTATTACACTGGTACAAAAGATATTATCAAAAATTTATTGGAAAAAACAATTAAAGTATCATTTTTTAAACGAAGTTTTGCATAAAATCAAGGTGGTTTATTCCTAAATCTAAAAGGATTTGTTTCACAAATTTTACTTAAAGTTGAAATTATTCCTGAACAAATAAATGTGTACATTCATTTTTAGCAAAGATCATGAGGAACTAAATATCTTGAATAGTATACCATCATATTGTTAGTTATTTCATTAAATGTCGTTTATTCTCATTGAGCATTATGCCGTTAGAGTTAGTCTCGTATTTGACTTTGGAGTCAGGAACTAGCCACCTTAAAAGTAATTTCTGCTGTCGTGAGTTTTCTGTGTAGATAAATAATGTTATTTGTTATGATAGTTATAGTACGTCAATTATAATACTTCGTTATTAATTATTTAGATAAAAATTTATTTTTATTGCAAGTGTGCGTGTGTGCGACACCTGTAACAGGTGCCATTAGTATATTTTATAAAACGTTGAAAGTATATCATCTGAATATTATTCCGCTAAGTACATTATTCAGATAAAAATTATCAATATCACTGGATGTATCTACCGACTAGCTATACTTATGTTTTTGAATTTGTGTGAGTTGTATTTTTATTAATGATAAAAAAATTATGTGCCTTGATTTTTTGTCATATCATATTTCCGAATACACATTTTTTACATTAAATAAACAATTTTCGACCATTAAATTAAGGTGTATTACTATTGATGCAACCGAATCAAGCATTTTCCGAAATCCTATAAGCGATGAATTCAAAGCTGTGCAGGGAATTTCAAAAATTTGTAAAAACTGAACCATCTCACGCTCGTATAGCCAGCATCGACCAGTTGTATGGCAGTACCAACACCCTCATTTCCCTTTTTTCCACCTGCTCCACCTCGCTATCCCCTCCACCCATCCCTATGCTCTCTACACACTTTGCCTCCTCCGACTCTTTCATTCCATGATACTCACACTGCGTATTTTTGGCGCGCGGTGTCTGCAGCATAAACAAAGAGGATGGGAATACACCCATCCCGTGCCTTGAAAAAGAGTGCGCAGTAGGTTGAGCGCATCACGGAGTGTGTGCGTGAATGCGTGATAGCCTACTGCGCTCTTTCTTGATGCGCAGAATCTACTACGCATTCGTTTTGACACAAAACGTAGATAGAGACAGAGAATGCACACTTAAAAGTATACACGTCGATCGAGGGAAGGGAGAGAGAAAAAAAGTGGGAAAATAAATAATAGCCACATGGGCACATGCACGACGAGCAAAGAGAAAAGGAGAGGTGGATAGAGGGGAAATTTTCAAGGCCCTAAAGTTAACGAATCTCTCTTGACGATGTGTACATTTTTTTTGGAGCAACTAAGTATACACTTGAAAGTTTGCAAGGTATATGCATTTGTAACACGATTTTTCTTATGTATCCATATGTGCTTAAGTATTTAAGACAAAAAAAAAAAAAAAAAAAAAAAAAAAAAAAAAAAAAAAAAAAAAAAAAAAAA